CTATCTCCAGCTTCATTTCTGTCACCAAGTCCATGTTTTCCAACTACTGATTCTTCTTCCCTGTTCCCCACTTTTGTGTTCCAGTCACCCATTATGACATAGATTAAAATAAAAATTAAAAAAGTAATCTATGTCATTGAAATGTAAATATGGAAAAGGTCCTGGTGAATGTTTATTTCCATTATTGTTGTTATTATTATTTGCCCTCGAGTCACTTTTGACTCTTAGTGATCCTATATACAAAAGCTCTGAAATCGGCCCTGTCCTGAGCCAGTCACACTGACTCCCACACATCTAGCTACTTGCCCTATTTACTGTTTCAATCCATTTCATCCAGGGTCTTCCTCTTTTGCGATGTCCCTCATGCATGATGCCCTTCTCTAAATATCGGTCCCTCCTGGCCACATGTCCAAAGTACGTAAGATGGAGCTTCAAAATCCTAGCCTCCAAGAAGAAACTTGATTTCATCCTCTCCAAGACCTATTTGTTTTCTTGGAGGTCCATGGTATGTTCAAGACTCATCTCCAGCATCGCAATTCAAAGCCATCAATTCTTCTTCTGACATCCTTAGTCATTGTGCCCCTCTCTGATGATACATAGCAAGTAATTGTGAAGACCATGGCCTGGTTCAGGCATACTTTAATTTCTTGACTGACATCGTTGCTTCTCACAACTCTGGAAAGGTCCCTGACAGCAAAGTTACCTAATGCAATTCGTCAAAATTTAAAAAAGTCGTACGGGGCAACGTTTGTGACGTGAGGGGGTCTCGGATTGAGGTTGGTACACACAGATAACCACAGATAATAACAATGGGAATGCCTCGGCAGTGGAGCCTTGATGCTGGCCGGACGATCCAGTCACGAGACCCAGATCTCTGGGACCTGGCAAAGGTAGGAGAAAGCGCCTAGACTGCAAGCTGATTGGCTGACGCATATCATATTAGTCTGATTGGTTGGCAGATGTGCAAGGACAAAATTTAGACCCTGTCTGGCCAATGAAGGCAGACCTCGCCGGCCACGCCCCCTCTAAGCCCGGCCTCCCCTTCCCAGTATGGCACCGCCCCTTCCCACCGCCCCGCCTGCCTCTCACCCACCTGTTTATCAGGTGAGGAGCCGTTTAAAGGGTCTCGTTGGCTTTTGCGCAATCCTGCCGATCGCAAGTGGACGTCTTGAATTTTGTTTCAGCTATCAGGAACCGGGATGGCATCCGTGAGGATTCGAGAGGCCCAGGAGGGAGATTGTGGAGACATTCTGAGGCTGATTCGGGTGAAAGCCAGAAGCCAGGGTCGGGGGGTGGGGGGGACAGAGAGAGCGGGGCCAGAAGTTGGGGTAGAGCGGGTGGTAGCGGAAAGGTATCAGCAGGGCTCTGCTGCCTTCCTCCAACCTCTGTCCCCCACGCCATAGGAATTGGCCGAGTACGAAAACCTCTCGGATCAGGTGCAGATCAGTGAAGAAGGTGGGGTCCTGGGGTCCTTCCCGAAGGAGGTTGGGCAGGAAGTGCAGGACGCTCCCGGGGAGGGCTCCAGGGCAGGCACACACTTAGGACCTTTTTCTCCATTTTGTCACAACTCCAATGTGCAGCCCTGAGGACAGATGGTTTCGGAGAGAATCCTTTCTATCACTGCATGGTGGCGGAGAGTCTTACAGCGCCCGGTGAGCCACAAGGTAGGGATACCCCAGCCTCAGACGGCCACCTCTCCCGTGGGCCTCTCACCTCTCACCCATACTTACTCAAATCTTTTTCTCTCTCAGGGCCCCGCGTAGTGGGCTTTGGGCTGTACTATTTAATCTACAGCACTTGGAAGGGCCGCAGTGTGTATCTGGAAGACATCTATGTGATGCCCGAATATAGGGGTACTGGGCAAGGCTAGGGTGGGAGCTACACAACCCATGGGCCCCTTCAGAGTCGCCAGCACCCTGATTCAAACAACCGCAATTTTCACTGTTTTTTTCCCCCACAACAGGTCAGGGGATTGGTTCCAGAATAATTAAAAAGGTGGCTGAGGTGAGAAAGACCAGGAAGATCTGGCTAGGATGAGGAGTGCAAGATGGGCTCTGGAGAAACAAGGGTATAGAGAGAGCACTTGCATTAAAAGGGGTGAGAAAGGTTTGTGGCTTCTCTCCCTCCTTTTTTGATCCCAGAAGAGTGAGTGACGTGTTCTCCCACAGGTGGCCCTGGATAAGGGCTGCTGCCATTTCCGCCTGGCAGTACTGGACTGGAACAGGAGGGCCATGGACCTGTACAAGGCTCTAGGAGCCCAAGATCTGACTGAAATGGAGGGCTGGCACTCTTTCTGTTTCGAAGCAAAGGCTATGAGGGATTTGGCAGGAAGGTGACAGCATCCTTTGAGGGTCTCTAATTGAGCTTTGCCTTTCCCCATCGACTCAGACATCTCTCAGGTACTGTCTCCACAGTCAGAGGCTTTCTCTGGGGGAAGGAATGTGGAAAGCGAATATTCATTGAGTACTGAATGTCCACAGTTGAAAGATAGGCTTTTCCATCTCCTTTTTTTGAGCGTTAAAAAAAATAAATAATGATTACTGTGTGCTCTGGTGGTGTTGGTGGAGGGATTGATGGTATGATAAACTTCAGCTACTTCAAGTCCTTTTCTGAGTGTTCTGAACAGTGATAAGGAAAAGAAAAGCAGAATGGACTGAACCTCTGAACAGTGATAAGGAAAAGAAAAGCAGAATGGACTGAACCTAGAGAGACCCAGGGGGATCCAACTTAGCATATAAGGCTCGTCTCTTGTATTTGAGACCCAGAGAAAGGCCTCAAATGTCAGAATAGAGATATGAGATATGCCTGGACCCAGGACTAAAGCAGGCAGAGGACTAAATAGAACAGATTGCCACCTAATGGTGGCATTTCTAGAGCCCTGGGAAGGAGCTACCAGTTAGAATCCACTGATTTTTTTTTGGGGGGGGGGGGGTGATGGGAAAGGAACAGTTGCCACTTAAAAAAAGTTATTTGAAAGTTTACAAAGCAAATTAATTTCCTTTCAACCATTCATACAGATTTGGTAAATAACATTCATCTCAATGCCCTCAATCACACATTCCCCACATCCTACTTGTAATTCTGATTTCCATTAATCCTTATTATAATTGTTATAACTTTTTAAGAAATCAACTTGGCCAGCTGAATGTCACAAAATCTTTTCTGTTGAAATGCCTTACAAAAGAATAAAGTTCAACAAAACCAAAATAAATTTTTAGGACAGAAACAGCTTCATTTTCTCCAAACTTTCATATTTTATTATACAAGTGATGCAAGTTTGGTATAGAAACGTACTCAAAAAACTCATTACACTCTGGATGTGCTGACCCCAGTGATTTCCCCAAGTGTCTGAAACTCAACTGCATAATTTGTGGTAGTGGGGAACTGTGTATATAAGAGAGAAAAAAAGAATCATAGCCTTACTTATATAATCACTATAAACTCTTCACTACTGTTTGGAATGATTCTTCAGATGTTATATACACTACATAGAATCAGTTCTGACTAATAATAACCCTCAGTTAGGTTTCTGAGGCTGTAAGTATGGGAGGGATCTCTGGTGGCACTGATAGCCCAAAGCCCAAATGAACCTCAGTGGTTTGAAACCATGAGCAACTTAAAGGGCGGGGGAAAAAGGGCCATCTCTTCCCATGCGGTTTACAGCCTTGGAAATGCCCTGGAGGGTCAGCTGTGTCAGTTTCAATTAGATGGCAATGAATTTGAGAACTGTCCACTCTTCTTCCCAGGAGTAGCTGGTGGATTTGAAATACTTTTAGAATTTCAACTGAAATTCTTTCACTTAGCAGCCCAGTGTGTTACACACTGTGCTACCAAGGCCCCACTGCCGTTGAATGGCCTTCAACTCAACAACGACTTTGTAAGTTACATTGTTCTGTAGGTTTCAGAGGCTGTAAATCTTTATGAAAGCAGGCAGTCTCTTCTTTCTCTCAAGGAACAGCTAGTGGGTTTGAACCAACGACCTTTTATTTGGCAATTTAATGCTTAGCCTACTGTGGCACCAGAGTTCCTTATATGTGTGCATTTGCATATAGTCAGTAAAACCTGCAAAAGCTGGAACCTGTATAAAGCAAAAGCCTGACAGAGAATTGAAACAAGTATTTTCCAAGAAAACAAGTGATAGAAAAGTGCTAATACTGTTCTACCAAAGGCAGAACATTTATGAAACTCAGAAAAAAGAGGCAGTACCATTGAATCCTCTCACAGGTCCCAGCATATATGGGCTCATGCTCTTTCCGTTGTTCATTTATTTCACAATATGTACCCTTGCCTGGATTCTCTAGAGAAGCAAAACCAATTAAGCTCATTTAAATAAGATTTCTTTTAAAAAAATAAGTCATGTGCTTGGAGTGACAGAGGCATCTGTGGAGGCAGGGCCTCGGGCTGCTGGCTTTGAAGGCTGCTGGGGTCAGAGGCTGGGATATCCAAAGTGGTTGTCTAGACGCAGGGTGGCAGGTGGCTGGCATTGGGTATTGATGAGTCCAAAGACACAAAGCTTGGTAGGCCACTAGTTTGAATCTGAAGACCATGAGCCAAGTAGACAGAATTGTAGATCTGACAGAAATCACTCTAGACTCTGGAACTCCTCCGGTGGCCTAGTGGTAAGAAGCTGCACTATATGATCCTTCAACTACACTATATGATCCTTCAGTTGTATTCATCTCTTCTTGTGTGTACAAACATGTAAGGAATTTTATCAATCTCACCTTGAAGAATTCTCTCTTAGAGCCTGCAGATCTGCTTCTGTTCTGAAGTTGAGATCCGCCCTCATGTCCACCCTTGGCGATTCCCTTACCTTCTCTTGTGTTGATCTCCTGTTTTCTGGAACCTGTTTTATTTGATGGAGCTTCTTGAGACAACAGGTACTTGGAGATGAATTTGTTCTAAACTATGTGATTATGTTGCTGGGTATGAAATACTAATATTATTACTTTTTTATTTTATTTTTTTATTTTATTCTTTTTGCGTGTACGGTCAAATCAAATCTGACTGGTATAGGAGGAGCTTGCCCCTCCTTCTCCAGCAGAGCATCTGGTGGATTTGAACTGCCTACCTATTACATTTTTAATGTGTCCATTTTCTTCTAGCTTCTGGTATTGCTGTTGAGAAGCCTATTAATCCTTTGTATGAAGTCTGTGGTTTTATTTTCCTCCCCAACCACTCCAGCTTTTAGTATTATCTCTTGTTCTCCAGCATTTTGCAGTGTTACATTGGAATATCTTCATGTTGTCTCAGTGGGATTCAGAGTGTGGAAATGTGTCTCCTTTAGTAACAGGAAGTGGAATCTTTGAAAATTTCTTTCCATTCAGCATCTCCATTGCCTTTTTCTGAAATTCTTGTTCGTCAAGTGTTGAACCCCATACCCACAGTCTTTAGTGTGTTTGCTTGTTTTATGCTTTTCTCTCCTTTTTCCTCACATTTGCTTTACTTTCTGAGAGATTTCCTTTATTTTTTTCAATCCTACTATTGATTTTTTTATTTCTACTTTCATATTTTTAATTTCTAAGAACTCTATTTTTGGACTGTGCATTTTTAAGACATTTTGTGGATATGTATTATTCTTATCTCTGAGATTGTTTATGACTTTTTTTTTTAAAGTAGTGTTTTTTCCTTGCTTAGTCAGCATTTCCTTTAAGCTATCCTTTATCTTTCTTGCTTTTAAAATTTTGATCTTACATTTTAGCGGTTTTCTGCAAATGTCCAGTAATCCTCAGTTATTTGCTCATATCCAAAGCTCTAAAGTACTGATTGAGGAGCTTGGATATAGATGTATTAGGGAAATTGATAGGTCAACAACAAGATAGAATTCCTTATTCAGGACAGCTTCTCAAATGTGCTCCAAGACCCCTTGAACTTCAGCCTCATAGTTTGTTGTTACGTGCCATCAAGTCGCCAGCAACTCACAGGGACCTTGTGTACAATAGCTCTGAACTCTGCTCTACCCTGAGAGGTTTTACTGTCTCTGACACACCTACTCCCATTACCCCAGTTACTTTGTCAATTCATCTTATCCAGGGTCTTTGTCTCCTGCACTGTCCCTCCACTCTTCCAAGCATGATGTCCCTCTCCAAGGTCTGGACCCTTCTTGCAACATACCCAAATGATGTGAGATGGAGCTTCAAAATCCTTGCCTCCAAAGGAGGAGCTTGGTTTCACCCTCTGTAAGATGGACCTGTTTGGTCTCTTGGCAGTCCATGGTATGTTAAGTACTCTTCACCAGCACTACAACTCAAAGGAATTAATTCTTCTTTTGTCATCTTTGATCATTGTCCACCTCTCTGATGCATCATAGTGAGTAATTGCAAAGACCATGGCCTGAATCAGGTGTACCTTAGTCTCCAGATTGATAACGTTGCTCTTCAGCACTTTTGCCGCAATTTCCCCCACAACCGTTCGTCTTTTGATTTCTTGACTGCTGGTGCTAAGAATGTTGACTGTGGATCTGAGGAAGCCGAAATTGTTAATAACCTTAATCTCTTCTCCAACTATCTTAGTGCTGCTAATTGGCCCAGTGGGGAGAATCTTTGTCTTCTTGATGTTGAGTTTCAATCCATATTGAAGACTATAGTCCTTGACCTTCTGCAGCAAATTGTTCAGGTCCTCCTCAGTTTCTGTGAGAAAGGTTGCATCATCTGTTATGTCATAGGTTGTTGATGACTCTTCCTCCAATCCTGATTCCACATTGCTCTTCATAAACTCCAGCCTCCTGAAATCTGTTCTGCATAGAGATTTTAAAAGGTATGGAGACAGGATGCATCCCTGACTCCTTTCTTGATTTTGAACAATGCAGGGTTTCTTTGCAACTGCTTCCCAGTCCAAGTATAGATTTCACATGAACACAATCAAGTGTTCTGGGATTCCCATTCTTCTCAAGGTTAGCCACAATTTTTTATGATCCATGCAGTCAAATTCCTTTGTACAGTTAATGAAACACAGAGAGATATTCCTCTGGTACTCTGTTTTCAGCCAAGATCCATGTGACATTGACATTAATGTCTCTCTAGAGCCACGACTTCTTCTAAACCCAGCCTATATTTCTGGTAGCTCTCTGTTAATGTACTGTCCCAATTGTTTTTGGATAATTTTGCAGGAGGATTTTGCTTGCATGTGATACCAGTGATAACTGTTAAATAATTTACACAATCTGTTGAGTCACCCTTTTATGGAATGGGAACAAATGAATCTCTTTCAGTCAGTTGGCCAGGTAGTTGTCTACCAGATTTTTTGGCACAACCTGGTGAGCATGTCCAGGGCAGCATCTTTTTCTTGAAATATGTCAGTTGGTATTCCATCAATTCCTGGGGCTTTATATTTTTTC